AAGGAAGATGAAGGGAGGAGAGGTAGAATGTCCCCTCAAATTTAATTCTCACTGAGCCAGAGTGGGTCCACTTCAATTATAACCAGGAGCCTTCTTGCTTGGGAGAAACCCAGGGTTAATGTGTCCTACTGCACATACTTGTTGATTACTAGTTGGATCTTTAGAGCTGTCACAGACTCTACAGCTTTGGTGGATCCCTGGGGAGCTCAAGCAACACTGGATTAGAAGCAGACAAGTACTGATATGGAGTCTGTTTGTTATAAGCCCCTCTCGTACTCTTCTTGTCTTTCCAGCTGTGACTGAGGATCAAGGCACTACTGCCCATTCTAAGTAGTTGCCATTTGGCTCAGGTTTGTGAATATGGAGTCCGGGGAAACTCAGAAGCTGTTCCACCAGGGTAGTATGGTAGGAGTACATACAGGGTCTTTGTAAAGACCTCTGACCAGAGGTTGTCTTTGTTATCCCTAATCTGGCCCAAACCCTGTAACTTCTTACTGGGGAAACAGGCCCAGAGAGGAAGAGTGGCTAGCCGGAGTAGAATCTGAGCCTTCTTGACTCTATGCTCATTCCTACACCTATGAAGATAGAGCTTTTGCTTGAGGACACCTTTTATGAAGGATAGTGTAGAGTCATGTAGTACCTGCATGAATGAGGCCAGCTGGTAATTCCTGGTTGATCTGAGCAGTCCTAATGAGCCCCTGGAAGAAGAGATAAAATCTGGTTCACCAGAGAGTAGATGAGGTATTGTAATCCCAAATATTGAGTAAGGTAGTCCAAGTACTGTAAAATCTTTTCCAGTCTTCCTCACAATCCACAAAGTATATTTGTAATCCCATTGAGATGTTACTGGAATCTGGGCAAGTTAATTCCAATCTACCACCTTCAATGTGACCCGTACCTCCAGTAAAGACACCAAGACATATTCAAAGTTAAGGGCAGCCAGGGGGTTCTAAATCCAATCCCTGTGAGGATTCGTAGACAAAAGGCCCTGACCCAAGGCCTCTCCCAGAATTTATTATTTGGTGAAGAAGGGGGGTGACTGAGAGGATGGCGGCAACTATGTGTGTAATTTGAGCTGACTAGCCAAGGAGGGAGAAAAACATCTTTGCAGAATGCAGGGATAACATGCAGATGGATCAATCTGCATAATTCAATTAAGGTAGCAACTGAATTGGTTTTGGAGGCTGTTGCTTCAGTTTCTGATATGTAAATTTTTGTGCCTAGGGGACTCATAGCCTCTTTATCACGATGCTCATACCCAGTTGACATTCCTGGAGCTGACTGGCTCTATTATCCATTTGTTCTCATATTTTTTTAGCACTATGTGAGGAAATAGGAGACTATCTGATGGCTTTAGAGATTCCATACCAGTACCTTAGTTAGTCTTATTTGCAATGCCTAGAGCCAATTGAAGGGAGAAGGAGATATCATAATCAGCTCTGTACATATCAATTTAAGGAATAAGTCTCAATATAATCAAAGTCCCAGCAATTGTTTTGCATTCAAGGGGAGTCACTCAAATTCCCTTTTACAGTGAGACAGGGGCCTCTCTTGAGCTGGATGTCACATCTCCCTTTGTTGAGCCTGCCTGGGACCTCTGCAGGTTAATCTTATCTTGTCCTCCTGATGCATCATGAGTTTCTTCCCCTCCTCTCCAGAGTCTGATGAGGAGGCAGCAGGGTACCAGCCTAGCCAAGGAAATACCCATGTGATCAGGAACCAGTTATTTCCACCTCTCTGCCTCAATTTCTCATCTAAAAAAATAGTGATAATAAAGTCTTTTCACCCTAATATTTATAACGTGCTCTAAGAGCTAGGGGCACAAAAAGTATAACCCACCCCCTTCTCTGTATCTATGTGTGTTTGTTTTAAGAGTTAAAAGAACAAGCTAATTGTAGGTTGTGAGCTAGGGCTGCACAGAAGGTATAAAAGGGTGATGACGTGGGAGGTTTCTGGGGTGCTGGAAATGCTTCCCATTTTGATGGGGTTATGGGTCCTGAGATGTGTACAGTTGTCAAAGCTCATTGAACTGTGAATCTTGTGCATTTTATTTTAAATTATACCTTAGCAAACAAACTATACACACACACACACACACACACACACACACACACACACACTCTACAGGGTGAAAGGACCCTCGAGGCCCTTTTTTAGACCAGGTAGTCAGGGAAGACTTCTGGGAGGAGGCAACATCAGGGAGTCCTGTAGGAAGAGGAAGCTCTGACTATGGGGAAGGAATATGGAGAAACTGAGGCTTTAAGAGAATGGAAGCTTTATGTTCAGGATCATTTAGGGGTCAAAAATACAATCAGTAGGCTGAGGCAGGAGGATCGCTGCGAGTTCAAGGCCAGCCTGGGCTACAGCATGAGTTCAAGGCCAGCCTGAACTTCTTAGTGAAACCCTGCCTGTGAAAAAGACAAAAAAAAAAAAAAAAAACAACAACAACAACAACAAAAAAAAACCCCAACAACAACAAAACAAGTAATGGCTGGGGATTTCTCAGCACAGAACAGAAGCAGGTCTAGGTCTAGGCCTCAACCCTGTGGTCTCCTCTGTAGAAGGTGGAGGAAGTATTTAGTGTTTTCAAGGGAAGCCTTCTCCCTGTCCTATGCTTGTTCTCAGGGCTGCCTTGGCACTTGAGACTATTTAACCCACTTGGGAATGGGTTCCTAACTTATGGGGGTTCAGGGTCCAAGATGTGAACTAACTCCAGCTGAGGGCTGCCCCACCTGCTCCTCCAACTCAGCAAAGCACAGATCAAAGTCCAACTCTGGGGCTCCCTGGCCTTTCCATGACCATCCTGCTTACCCCTTTCCTCCTTTCCACACCTGCGTTTGCCTGTGAGGCCTCAGCCAAGGATTCCTCCTACCTGCCCCAGGTTTAGCCAACTTGCCTCTGCCCTCTGGCTGCTCCCAGCTCCACTAGAGGAACAGAAGCAAAAACTTAAGAGAGGTGGCAGGAGAACTTTCTAGAGGCAGAGACTCCTCGACTCTGCCCAGAAGTTTCCTCAAAGAGAGGAAGCTGAGCCAGTGAGCAGAAGGGGCAAGAACCATGTATGGTAGTGCAGACACTTTAAGAGTGAGGCCCATTTAGGAATAGCAAGTGGATAATTCTGGCCAAAACAGATGGTATTTTTGGGAAATGAAGAAATAAGATGGGAGAAGATCAGCCTGGATGCCTGCAGGACATGGATGCCTGCAGGACATGGGGAAGAGGTTTTCTGTGTTCACAGGTAGAAGAGGGCAAGAAAGGGAGAGGCTGGATGAGGAGTCCACCAAAAGCCTTTAGCTGCAAGCTTGAGGTTTGTGAGAGGAGAGGGAGGGAATCTGGTGTGGGGATGAGATGCTACATGGGAGCAAAGTCAGGAGGGGTCCAGGAGGCAGCTTGGATGATGGTGAGAAATGGTCAGTCAGGGGAGGGAGCAGGGGAGAGGGGATAGAGAGCAGAGGGGAGTGCAGGGGGAGAATTAGGAGGTGAAGGAGCAAAGGATATGGGGAGGAAGTGGCATGTACCTTGGGTCCTGTGGTGAGGACTGAGATTTCCTGGCTGAAGCCCCTCAGGACATGGTGGACATGGGCTCCTGAATTAAGAGGGTGATGCAGCTCTCTGATCCCAGTGTGGAGAATGAGAAGTGGGTTCTTGGATGCTATGTGGGCAGGGACCTCAAGGGTTTTCTTAGGCACAGGTACTATAAATGAGGCTCCACAGTGTCCAGGCTGTGCTCCTGTACTCAGCCCTGGTCTGACTAAAGGTCAAGTTGAGTTAACCTGAACAGAGATCCTGACACCTGGTGCCTAATGCCTACCTTGCTGCCATGTGTCTCATGGGGATGACTCTGTTACTACTTTCTTTACAGAGTTGAGGGCTGCAGCTTGGAGCTGTGCTGCTTGCCTGAGGTCACACCGTCTCTGGTGGATTCAACCCCAAACCCTATTCCACTCCACCCAGCTGTCATCTCCCTCACTGGAGTCCTCCCTGCCCCATCCCTCTCTACCTATGAGTCCTCATCTAGGGACTGTTGCCATGCAGGAGGGTGCAACATTGGCAGCCATGTCACCTTGAGGTAGCCCAATTTCTCTAGCAGTGAGGATGGCATTTTCCTACATTCCCTGCACAGCAGCTCCCAGGGAGGCTACAGAGTTACCTTGGAAGCAGAAGACTGGGAGGTCATGACCAAGCAACTCATTTTAGAAGCACTTTTTTCAGTAGTGACAATTTTATTCATGCACCCACTTCTGGAGAATTTGAAATCTTAATTCCTTTCACTCCTGCAGGAGTGCAGCCTTGTTTCCTCCTACTTAGGATTGGGTCCCAGAGGGATGAGCAGTGAACACAGGCCTCACCTCTTGTCAGGAAGTCTTCCTCTGGCTCCAGCAAGGTCCTGGTCATGCTGAGATTTTGGGAAAATTTGCATGCCAGCCCCCTCCCCAAAATTCCCACCCCTGCCCCAACCTTTCTCTAGTATCCTTCACATTCATACAAAGCTGCTGGACAAGGAAAGGATTGTGGAGTGGGTACCATCCTGTACACTTTCTGGGTACATTTCTGGGTACATTTACTGGGTGCCATCTTGTGCACTTTCCACATACAAATTCCATCCCTGGCCTGAGAAATGGGGCATCCATATCCTCCCTGCTGTCAGAATGAGGCCTAAGGGATATGTGTTCCCTGACCTGGGTCCCATGGCTGATATGTGATTTGACTGTAAACACTGCTTGATTTCCATCTTATTTGTTGTCCCTAGGAAGGAGGCAAGGGGTTCTCCAGCTTGGAACCCCTCCAGCCTGTCAGCCTCCTCCCAGGGATTCCTGGAGTGATTGACCAAGATGCTAACACTCAGAGCTGAGGTTCAAGTCCAGAGAGTCATGGACCACAAGCCAGGGAGACCTGCATTCTGGCCCTCACAAGCTGCCTGACTTTTGGCAGATTAAAGGCCTCTCTGAGCTTCCATGTCCTTGTCTGCTGAGGCTGATATGTACTCTGTCACACATTCACAGCTCCTGTACGATAGCCCCAAGGCCCGGCAGGAGGTGGACCATCACTGGCAGGCCTCGGGTGGCCCCCACATTGTGCGCATCATAGATGTGTATGAGAATATGCATCACGGCAAGCGCTGCCTCCTCATCATCATGGAATGGTATGTTGTTACTTTGCCTTGGTGCCCCTTCAGTTTCCCTATGTGCCAGGCTCCCTGCCAGTCTTCTAGGGTTTTCTCTGTCCTTCAGACAGCAGCTTCGGGTAGCACCCAGCCCCTGAAGGATGGCAGAGTAAGTAGCCACAGGCCCTATTAGCCACCAGGGAACGCCTTCAAGGTGGGAAAGAGGCCACACAAAACTCTCCCATGGCCTTCCTGGGCACAATTTCCACTCTGTGAGGGGGGATGAGGAGTGCTGCCAGAGAAGGCTGCCAAGCCTGGTCTTTGAGAATAGAGGGTTTGAGGAAGAGTGTGGCGCACATAGTTCCCTCAACTTTCTCCTTATATGGGGTTTGTCCTGGTCCAATCAAATGCCAGGTGTTGAGGCTGAGGACCAGGAGCTACTAGCCTCTTCCATGTGGGCTTCTGCCACTGCCACTTGCATCTCTGACCCATCCTTCTTCAGACCCTGTGGCCCCAACTGGGCTTCACTTCCTCCCTTCTTTCAAATCCTTCCTATTTGTATAGTTTAGCCAGCTTTTAGAGTTGGGGTTCAGATCCTGACTGTTGCCTACTCGCTGTGTGACTGCGGGCAGCTCCTAACCTGTCTGAATCTCTGTAACTCACATGTAAGATGTGAAAGAAAATATTCAAGTAGCATCACTCTGAGTTTGTCTCTGCTCAAAGAGCTCATGTGTATCACATATCCAATGTTCATGAGTCTGTGAGGTTAGTGCTGTTGTGCTCCTTTTACAAAATAGGTACCTGAGCCACAAAGAGGTAAATGTTGTAGTCAGGGGTTGGGAAGAAAACAGTTAGAATCAGGACATGGAGTTTATAATATTGTTTTATGATGGTCACCCAGAGTTAACACAAGAAAATGCAGGAAATCTATACACAACATCAAAAATAGAGTATTTAACCAAGGGCTTGAGTCCCACAGCAATGTCCCGCATGAGTCCAGATGAAGACCCAGAGCTCAAGACAGTGCCTCCCATGAGTCCAACTGGAGGTCTAGAGCCCACAAGAAGGACTCATGCCAGTCTCTTTTACGGATCCGTGCCAAAGGTCAGTAGTGGAAACCAGAAAGTCCATGCCAGCGGGGTGAAGGAGCTGTGCTGGTAGGTTGAGGGTTATATGCTAGAGCCAAGAAGTCACACTCACAACAAAGACCAGGGCTGTCCTGCAAAGCACTACAGCCATCCTCAGCAACATGGAGGCCCTGAGCTCCTCCTCCAACAAGCACAGTCGAGTACGTGCCAGGAAGCCAGCGTGACGAGTTCATCCCCGAGACCAAGTGGCACACGTCTTCCTCTCTGGAGCCAGGAAGTAATGCTCGATGTGAGGACCAGAGCTTCTCCAGGAGAACCAACAGCTCAAACAGCAACTCGTAGGAGAATCCACAATACCTCAATGCAACAATGCACCTTAATGCCTAACTTCTCCTTCTCCATGTCTCTTTTTATACTGGCAACTTTTTTCAGGTGGAACATCTACACTCAGCATCCTACTGATTTAATTAAGTTGACCACCAGTTCTTAATCCATAACAGTGGAGGAACCAGTCCAGGATCATATGACAGTGCACATGAGGGTAGAACCCAGGGCACAGTGTACAGAGAGCAGTGAGACCTTGTGATGATAATTGACATTCAGGGAAATAGACATGGGCAGGGTTGGGAGTTCCTGAGGTCTCACAGCCAGATGGAAGGCAGTACACCTGGGAAGAGAGGGGCTTCCTGGCAGGGATCTTAGTTGACCACTTTCCCTCAGTTCTAAAATTTCAGAGCAACCCACCCAAGCTGCCAGTCCATCTGTGTACCAGATTTTCCAAGGGACAAGGAGGCTGATAATAGCTAAGGAGCAATAGGACCTGGAGGCTGGGTCTCTGAGCTGGGGCAGGTGAATGCGAATGTCTCATCTCCCTCTCTGTTCATAGTCATCTTCTCTTGTAGCATGGAAGGTGGTGAATTGTTCAGCAGGATTCAGGAGCGTGGCGACCAGGCATTCACCGAGAGAGGTACATGCAGGCTGCTGAACCAGTGTGGGGAGACAGTGTGAGAAAGATGTGCCAGAGTCACTGTGTGCCAAGGTCCTGCCCCTCCTTATTTCCATCAGATCAAGAGAGGGTAGGACAGAGTGCCCTGTCCCTCCAAGGGCTTCAAGGAATCCATGACGCCTTATTGCAGACACACTCTCCATGGCCCTGGGACCCTGTTGGTACTAATGTACATGGAGCTGAGCAAGGTAGCCTAAGCTTGAAGAAAGAGGCCCAGGTGGGCTAAGAGCATTTCTAGAGGAAACTGGGGTACTAGGGTAGGAGTCTAGGATGGAGTCACAGGACTATTATCATCTTGTACTGGCCTGTAGATCACAGCCAAGAGAAATGAGGGAATGTGGGTCCCCCAGTGGCCTGACCTTTGACTGACATCGGTGACCTCCCCCATTTATGTCTACAGAGGCTGCAGGGATAATGCGGGACATTGGCACTGCCATTCAGTTCCTGCACAGTCAGAACATCGCCCACCGAGATGTCAAGGTAAGACTTCAAGTTATAGACTGGGGGACCAGCAAAGGAGGTTTTATATTATTCTATAACTTCTGATGGTTCCAGCACCCCCAGGATGGAAGTCAAGTTCCTTGATCAGCATTCAAAGCCTCTGTTCCTAGGCTCAGACTACTCTCAGCCTCTCCTCCTGTGGCTCCAGTATACTAATTATACTCTTGCCAAATGGATCTCATTTCCTCCAAAACTATAACCCTGGTAGTAGTAAGGATAACTAACTGCCTGCCAGTAGGCAGGGACAGTGTCTCATTGAATTCTTAACACTACCCATTCCTTAGATGAGCAAATTGAGGCTCAGAGAGAAAGAGAGAGAGAGAGCACAAGATTAAGTGGCTTACTTAAGGCGTGCAGATGCTGCCTGGGGATCCATTCATCCACCCACATCCTCAACAAGATATTTTGTGACCATGCAGTGTGCCAGGGGCAGACTAATGCTGTGAGTCTTCTGTAGAGTCAGAGTTATAGTTTTAGCAGATTCAGTCCTCGCATACTAGCCTTTTAAAAGAAACAGTACAACACTCAAGCAGGCCCAGTTGTTGAGCCTTCCCAGAAATATTCTGGAAGCTCAGTGCTTTAAATTTCCTCTCCTGGGAAGATTGGGTGTTCCCAGGAAGCCCTATATGCACACATATGCACATGCCCACATAAGCATACATGTGTGAGCCACCATTGCAGCAGAATCTGCTCCCCACGGTCCCTCCACAAGCCTAGAGCATTATTCACCTCAGTGTGAGTCAGGCAGGCCAAGGGCAGCTGCTGCATCTGGTCCTTCCTTTGCCTCGTGGCACCAACAGTTATTCTTTGACTCATGTGGAGCCACAGCAGCCCCACCTTCTGAATCCTTGCTTTGTTTTGGCCTTGGTTTCTTTTTTTCCTAAGGGGAGAAAAGCTTTCTATAGAACAGATACCTTTGTAAACACTAAACCAGCTTCTCAGTTTTTATCCCAATCCAAGGTCACATTGTCTCAAATAGAACCTGAGAGAATGGAGCTTCATCCAATACCCTGCAGAGTTTGGGACTCTCTTGTGTACCTTAGCATGGGCCTCTATCCTACTCATTCATTAAAAGTTATCTTTGGTGTTGCTTCTTCCATGTAGTCCTCCTCATTGTCCCTGTTGCCAGGTTCATCTGTACTTTGCTACAACTAAGAATTGTTCAGGGTCTGAGCAGTCAGAGCCTTCTCCTCTGGGCAACCTCAGGTGGGGCTGGCCTGCTGGCCTGGCAGGCTTCCTTCAAGGCTGGGTGTAAGACATGTGCTTGGCAATCATCCTGGCTTTTGAGCAGTCTGCCTCCCCATACACTCACGTTCTGGTGTTTCATGGCAGCCTTACCAACTTAGGATCTCAAGTTCCTGGCTCTATGTACTGCATGGCACTTGGTCATTCACAGCATTAGTCCAGCACCTGTCTCCCTTTCCCCTCAGTGAGCATAGATGTCATCTTGCAGGCACTTTGGCCTTCCTATATTTGGTATGTGTTGCCGATGGCCAAGGACAGATCTTTTATGAGATAAATGAGCTTGCTCTTCCTGCATTGCAGTGGAGGTGAAAGGTTGATAAAGCCTGCCTTGAAGTTCTGCCCCATCTGGCACCAAACTAACTCCACATATTTTCTCCTCCTTGCCCAGCCTGAAAACCTGCTCTACACATCCAAAGAGAAAGATGCTGTGCTTAAGCTCACTGACTTTGGCTTTGCCAAGGAGACCACCCAAAATGCCTTACAGACACCTTGCTACACGCCCTACTATGTGGGTGAGTCATTGGGACATGGCTTGTAGCTCCCCATCTGCTCCACATGCTGCTGTGCTTTAGGGCAGCCTGAGAGTTGTGGAAACCAAAGGGTTAAAGCCCAAAAAGAAGGGAGGGCAAACTCTGTCTGTATGGAGGCGGGTGACATGGGGGGGGGGGAGCTGGAGGCTGCAAAAATATTCTTCCAAACTTCAGCTTCTGCTTTTGAAAATAGATCCAGGAAAATTCTGGCTGTGGCCTGTGAGCTGAATGACATCACAGCAGCTCTAAATATATACGTGATAAAAGGCTGCCATCAGCTTGGGACAAAGCCCAACTAGTTGTTTTTCTCTAGTTTTCAGCTTCCTGGGATTTATATGCAGAAAGTAGGCAGGCCTTTCCCCCTACATTACATGGATGCAGGGTACTAGTCATCTGCTTTGTGGGAGATCGAGCCAGAACTGGGGGAAGAGGAGATTGGTTGGTTGGTTGGAGTGTGTATTTATACTTGCACTGATAGCTATGCTCCAAGCAGCCCCTAGCTTGGAAAGGTCTCTGGTGAAAGTACCCCTTGCTCTCAAGTTGGTGCTAAAAGGGCTTTTCTTCAGGAGAGAACTTGAGGGATTGCTGAAGGGGATGGAAGCCTCCAAGACGGCTGAAATGGAACTCTGTTTGCTAGAATGAATGTTGTAGTATGTTAACCTAGAAATCTTTTTTTTTTTTAATTTTTTTTGTCTTTTCCTTTTTTATCGGTACCAGGGATCGAACTCACGACTGCCTGCTTGCAAGGCAGGTGCTTATGCTGCTGAGCTAAATCCCCAGCCCCTAACCTAGAAATCTTCTGGCTTGCTGACCTCATTGCACAGATGGGAGCACCAAGGCCCAGTGGGTTAACCCCCAAGCTAACTAACAGTGGGATGCAGAGCCATGCTCCTTACCTATGACTTCACTGTGTTCAGGAAGGCAAGTGGCATAGGATCCTCTTGCCTATGGCAGCACTCACCAAGCTGCAGACTGGCCTCTTCCCACTTTCTGCCCTCACCAACGTCAAGACTGACAGAGGGTCTCAGGGTCCAAAGGAGCTAGGGGGCTGTCTGAAAGCAATTTATTTTTTCTGGGAGCTGTTTCTTCTCCCCCAAATTCACACACATGTTGCCTTCTCAGAAGGTGCCAGACACCAGTCTGCTATGTCCCACATCCTAGCTCAGATACCTGTTCCTCACCTTAATCAGGCTTCAGGCTCTAAGACTCCTGAGGCTGAAAGCCCTCCTATGTCTTCTGCCCTGGCAGCCCCTGAGGTCCTGGGTCCAGAGAAGTATGACAAGTCCTGTGACATGTGGTCCCTGGGGGTCATCATGTACATCCTGTGAGTACCACTGTCATTCTCCTCCTTGGCCTCCTGCCTCCATCCACACACATATTTTTAGTACCACTTTGCTCCCTAACTCCCACATCCTTTGTGAGGGGCTTTTGGGTGTCTCCCCACCTTGGGCAGGCTGTCCTTTTCTAGTTACAAGACTCCATTCCTTCTGGCTGCCCAAGGGTCTGTCCATTGCTGAGGTTGATGGTGCTCCTGGGCTGTGCCTGAGAGTCCAGAGGGCTGGTATATTACCATGGTGTCTGGCTGCCTGTCTCCTCAGTGAGGGGCTGCTTGGGTGGAAAATGGGTCTGCCCAAGCACTGTCCTACATCTTTATATTAAATGACCTCTTCCCTCCCCCAGCCTGTGTGGCTTCCCACCTTTCTATTCCAACACGGGCCAGGCCATCTCCCCAGGGATGAAGAAGAGGATCCGCCAGGGCCAGTACGGCTTCCCCAATCCTGAGTGGTCCGAGGTCTCTGAGAATGGTGAGTGAGCCTTTCTGTCTTCTGTCATCCCCATGGACCTCATTCTGGCAAGCATACCTTTGGAACAAAAGTGACCTGTGACCCTACCTATGTAACCCTAGGCAGGTCACCCAACCTTTTCAAGCCTCAGTTTTTACATCTACATATGGGCTTAAAACTTGCTTCTAAAACCCCCCTCTAACTTCTGTTCCTCATTCACATTTTCCTATCTGGGGACCATGAACCAATTTACATTGTATTAGTTACCTATTAACAAATTATCCTGAACACTTAGTGTTTTGAAACAGGAAATAGTTGTTAGCTTGCTGTTTCTGCAGGTTAGGAACATGGTATCACATGCATTCCTAGGCTCACAAAACTGTGCTCTGTGGAGAGGGTTAGGGACTGCAACCTCATTGCCCTGTTCTATTTCCTGGTCTCTAGCCAAGCAGCTGATTCGTCTACTGCTGAAGACGGACCCTACAGAGAGACTGACCATTATGCAGTTTATGAACCATCCGTGGATAAATGTGAGCATCCACACCCAGCAAGATGTTGAGCTGGAGCACAGCTGCCAGCCAGGAGGGTGGTGACTCTGGAATCTGGAGTACAGTGCTGAAATGGGCCTGAACACCTGCAGTCTTGTGGTGCTACTGCCCCAACTAGACTTCTTCACCTCTCTGAGCCCTGGTTTTCTCACCAAAGACTGGGAGAAGCGGGAAGGTTGGGGATAGCCAGGGTTGCTGTGCATGCCTGCAAGCTCTAATCCAGGGACTTGGGAATCCTTCCAGCAATCAATGGTGGTGCCACAGACTCCGCTCTACACAGCCCGAGTACTGCAGGAGGACAAAGACCACTGGGATGAAGTCAAGGTGTGTAGACTCTAGCTCAGTCTCCTTGCAATTTCCAGGGTGGCAGCTCCCCAGAGTCAGGGTGTTTGATTCCTCTTGTTTGCCTGGAGCATAGCATGTCAGTGACTACCCTCGTTATCTGCACATGGTACTCCAAGTATTGAGCTGTACCATTTGGAGTGGTGCTCCTGGCTCCTTCCCTTGGTGAATAGGGCTTTGGGCTTAAGTGATGGCCTCCTATCTTTTGACTTAGAAGATGCCATGTTTGGTCATATGAGATGGCAGCTAAGAACGCTGAGCTACCCAGGTTGCAATCTCCAGGCTCAGAAAGATGTCATTCTCTACAGTCTTTGTGGTTCTGAGCAAATGGCACTGGCTGAGCTCTTTGTGTCACTTACCCTTGGTGTGATTACCAAGAGAATGGTGGAGTCACTAGTTTTTTATCTGTACTGGATAAGTTCAGTGTCTGCCACTAAGGAGTTAGGGAGGATTATGAGACATAAAGGACCAGGCACAATAGACAACATGGTCTATCGCTGTCATCACTGAGGGGGTGTCTAGGTAGGAGGGTGATACTGTTAAGGTCAGTTCATCTTGACATCTTGTCCTCTATGCCACCTGTTCTCAGGAGGAGATGACTAGTGCCCTGGCCACCATTCGGGTGGACTATGACCAGGTGAAGATCAAAGACCTGAAGACCTCTAATAACCGGCTACTCAACAAGCGGAGAAAAAAACAGGCAGGCAGCTCCTCAACTTCACAGGGCTGCAATAACCAGTAGTCCATGGGGCCTTGCAGGAGCCAGGCCTCTCAGCCTGGGTGACAGACTGCATTATGTGAGGCTACACTGGAGCCCTCAGGCTCATTCTTTTTTGTTTGATTTTTTTTTTTTTTTTTTTTTTTTTGGGACAGGATCTCACTGTCACTCAGAATGGGCTTGAATTCACTATGTAGCCCAGGCTGGCCTTGAACTCATTGCGACCATCTTGCCTCAGTCTGAATGCCAGGATTACAGGTGTGTGCCACCACATCTGGCAGGGTAACAATGGATTATTTTGTTGTGTTTTGCTTGGAACTTTGAGTTGGAAGACCCTGACCCAAAATCTTCAGAGCCCCAGCTCAGGCTCTGGCCTGAGAGAGAGGTAGGGCTTTGTCCCCTGCTGAATCAAAGCACTTTTGGCCAGGTGAATATGTGCCTTGGGGGCATGAGTTTAGCCTTTGCTGAATCAAAGCACTTTTGGCCAGGTGAATATGTGCCTTGGAGGCATGAGTTTAGCCTTCTAGGCCACTGGGAAGTATGGCTGGGTTTCCTTTCTTCAAAGGAGACACCCCTCTGCTGGTGGACAGATAGACTTGGCTCTGAGAAAGACATCCGGCCATTGGTTGCCATGGTGATCAGGGATAATGTTGGTCCCTGAATGCTGAGTATGTAACAAGAGCGGGAGGAAGAATAACCAGGAGTCTACCTCTGTCTTCTTGGGGAGTCTGGTCTCTCACTGGCTTCCTCCCACAAGCTCACCCCACTTTGGTCTCTCTGAGGCTGTAGGGTCTAGCTTGCCTGCCTCTTTTAGTGGTCTGGCCCTGTCTTGCTGCATCCCAAATCTAAATGGCACTCAGAGCTTTCTCCCAAGGAGTCCTTGGGTCAGGCCTTCTACCACTACCCACTACTCAAAGGGTGGTTTCTCATCTCAACCAAAAGTGGGAACATCTTTAACTGTTTCCCACTTTGGAAAATATCACTGTGACAAAAGTCTCCAGGCCTACCTCACCAGATCTGCCCTTGCCACATCCCAGATAGGAAAGCCCTTCTGCTAATAGCAGGGGCTGTGCATTGGTATGCTTTTGTGAGAGAGTGTGGTTGGATTCCCATTAATCAGGCATCTCTTTCCATGCTTTAGGTCAGACCTGAGGTAGTAAAGGGCTGCTGAGTCATACTCAGAAAGTCTGATCCTGGCTTCAACCTGAGTTGGAGCAGAGAGGGCTCTTCCTGGCTGATTCAGGGTTATCTAGCCCCATCCCACCCAGAGCATACTTGAGGTGCTTACTTGATAATAGGCCTGACAAGTGCCTGACACTCAGCCTAGTACTTGGTTCCTGGCCTGTCTCACTGGCTGGGAAACCCTAGACCAGTGATGGTGAACCGTTTAGTGCTTTCAGTGATACAAACAACCTGCTATGGCATGGCGTGCCATAGGTTCACCACCATTGTTCTAGACCATGTCATCCAGGACAGTGCTGCCAGGTTTTATATCCAGATATTAATAAACATCATTTTGACACTTTCTCCTGGTTCTTGGGCTTCTCTTTGTCTACATAGATGGAGAAAAGTGGCCAAAGGGCAGCTGCATACCCCCATTAGTGATTTAACTCTGGCTGGAGTGGTGCTTCAGGTCTGGTGAACATGCCAGACTGACTCCAGAGCCACTGCAGCCTCACTAGGTGTGGAAAGGTCAGAGAGGCTGGGGGATGGCAGCTGGCACATGCCCCCAGCTCTGTGCCGCCCCTGTGCACTGTATGTGTGACACCTACTCCTGGCCTTGTGTGTGCCAGCGTCTGCCCACAGTGGCCACCCCCAGCTGTGCACCAGCCTGCTGAAGGGCAGGCAGAGTGCCTGCTGCAGCACTGAGCTATTTTCAGAAACTGCCAGATTTCATTTGGCAGTGAGAATATCGAGGAGGGGAGTGGGCGGGGTGCTGGAAGACTGTCTTTTCACTACTTCAGCAAGAGCGCACCCTCACCCCTTGGGAGCCCTTGTGGGCAGCCTCAAGGGAGCTCTCACTGTGGCATTTCTTCCCCAACGATCTTGAAACCTCCTAGTTTTCTAAGAGCTCACCTGGTATAGGTATTGCTTCCCTTGCCTCACCCAGGGTGTGGGGAGGGTGTGGAGATATATGAAGACAGGACAGGTAGCATTCAGGAGATGTTTTGTTGCATCTCAGCCCAGTGACCTTGGACAAGACCTTTAGCTTCCCTTACCTCCATGTGTTCCTGCAGCTTGTGTACTAAAGATGAGGGCGCCCACCTCGCAGATTCATCCCAGGAATTTGAACAGACAATGTATGGGAAGTACTTAGTGGTGTGCCTGAGGCATGGCTCTTGCCCAATTCCCATTAACCAGCCCAGCATCGTTACCCACCAGGAAGGAGAGACGTACCTAAAGTTGTCTGAAGGAAAAGCAGTCCAACCCCAAATCCATCTCTGGGACTTTTGTGCAGAAAATCAAGCCGTCTCTACCCTTGGGTGTCCCTACCCCAAGGGCTTGCCCTCCAGGATAACATCATGGGGCTTTTAGGTCTCAGCTCTAGTCCAGCACTTCAAAGGAGGATGAATTTGAGGATCCCTGTCCACAGGTGAATCTGTGGTTGACCTCAACACTTTTATCATATTTTCTAAGTCTGGTAGAATGTCGGCCAGATTCAAAATATAGAGCCTTTCTAGTGACAGAGTTATAGGATGTAGAGGGACTTTCTCACTTGGATCTGAGCACCTACATACACCATGCTGGGTACAAGAAGGCAGCATGAACATTTCAGACAGGGTGTTCACCCAGGAGCTTAAATTCATGGAGCAGAAGGACAAAACATTACAGAAATGTATGTGGAATTGTGGTCTAGCTGTGGTGTAGGAAGAAAAGACATGGTCCTAGCAAGAAAAGGTGCCATGGGCAGTTTAAATCAAAGGGAGAGCTGATGTATCCTGAAGGCCACAAAGGTGTCTGATAGGTTATAGGACTGAAAGCAAGACAGCTGGGCCAAGGGCTTCAGGCTCTGTCTGTCCTTTGGCTCTGCCAGTTTAGACTTCTTTCTTAGGCTGGCTTTGATCCTACACTATACAGCTGTAAGACCGCTGCAGAAGTCTTGGAGGAGATTGTTATCTGATCAAATGTCCACCTACTGGTCCCAGGGAAGGAGTCTTATTGGTCACATTTGGCCTTTTGTTTCTGGGGAGGGAGCATGCCCCTTCTTGTTGTTACAGCAGGGAAGATGATGGAAGGATTGCCCTTTTTTCTCTCGTGTTTGCTTGGCTACTTCCAAGAGCTCATGAAGAATCTGGATCCATGATAAGCCCAGCCTAGGGCTTATCCCCTCTGATCTCTGGCTTTAAATGTAGTTCTCATGAACCAGGACTGGGAGGTTAAATGCCTAGCTAACTCACATTCCTTATTGGGAGCAAATCCCTGACATCAGCTGCTGTCAGGTAAGCTAAGAAAGCCAAGTGGCCACTGTTTACATCAACTAATCCAAGCATTTGCATGGGCTGTGTAGTGGCTTCCTTGGGAATCTGCAGTAAAGAATTCCATAAGAGGTGTGTGTGTGTGTGTGTGTGTGTGTGTGTGTGTGTGTGTGTGTGATAGAGTGAGACAGAGACCTGACTCTGTCCTCAGAACCTGATGCTGGCTGACTTCCAGCAGCCTGGCTCATTGTTATTCCTTACCAGCCTTTGTCCACCCTTGCCCTTTATTCAGGGCCTCTACTGAAACATCAGAATTGAGCGTCAAAATGCAGCTCTGCAGCAGTCTCAGTGTTTTCAGGCCTAGTTAAAACTTTCCCTAGTAGGCATGGGAGGTTGGCAGAGGGGTATAATGTGGCACTCTCTAGACCTGGTCGCCTTAGGCTGAGCTTCTGAATTCCTAATGGGTCCTCACAGCTAACTTCAAGCCCAGCAGGGTAAAATTCTTCCTTTAGTCCCACTGGGCTGCCAGCATGCTTACCCATTATAATTGAGATCAGCAGACAGGAAACCCACAGCCTGCCTGGGTTTTAGAATGGGATGGAGTCATTTAGATTTATCTGAGTGCTTGGTCAAAGCTAGTCTCATTTTGAGGTTCCTAGCAGGAAAATAAAATGTTGATTAAAGAGGACCAGGTTACCTGTAATCCTAGATAGGCCAAGGCAGGAGGAGGGCCAGGAATTCAAGGCCAGCCTGGGTTACATAGTGAGTTCAAGGCCAGCCTGAAATACACAGTGAGACCTTGTCTTGAAAAAACAAAAACAAAAGCAAACAAACTCAAAACAACAAACAAACCAAAAAGAGGACCAGGTTATTCCAGCACCCTTGGTAGATATGTTGCCACTAGTTGATGGTCTGTGAGGAATGCTCTGAGGTCTAAGGAGGACCATACACTTTGTAAGGCTTCAACTTCCTTGCCTGAGGAGTCTCACAAAAATCAGGTAGGAATATAGTGGAGAAGGGGGTGGGGCAGAGGCCAAAGATCTTGGTTACCAGCATGTGTTCCCAGCAACCTTCCTGCTCCACCTTCTGTTTCCCCTGACCTGGAGAAAGTTGCTGGTGACTCAAGGAAACCAGATTCCTGGGACTCAAGAGGAGCTGACAGTCAACAAGACAGGTTAATTGGGGTGTGGGGCCACCTGCTGGTTATCTGGGTAAGTATTCGATGGACACCTACTATGCGCCCGTGTTTGAAGGAATTGTGGGGCAGGTGAGAGACCACATTATAATGAACAACTGCTGTTTACTAGATGCCTCCTGTGTCTGTCACTGAGCTGTTTGTGACTCATCTTACTTGGTCCTCACATTTTCATGTTTCAGAAAACCTGAGCCCCAAGCTCTTAATCATTGCCCTCTCTGCTAACGGAGGTCAGAAAAAGGAAATACTACTCAGAAAGCCTCCCAGATATAGTGACAGTGTGAACTCAAAGGCAAGTCAGATTTGGATGGACAAAATTTAGGGAAAGGGCATTGCAGCTGGCAGGTGCAGAATAGCACAAGATGCTCTGTGTGAAGAACTAAGAGTAAGTTTGTTTAACAGGTGAGAGGCGGTCACAGCAAGGATGTCTTTCATTTCCTCATCTCCTTCCTGTAGGAAGTTAGAGCACCATGCCCAGAGAAATAAGTGGATACCTGGTGGCAGTTTCTCCCTCTCAGAGCCCTTAAGGCACTCATGTGTGGTTTATTCCCCATTCTTACCACAATCTCCACTGGAGATACATCCAGCTCCAAATTTGATGCCAATTTGTTAAACAATCCATCTACCTCTTACTGCTGTGGCATTTCCAGTTAGCACTCATGCTGTCTGTCAGAGTTGCAGCTGGGTTTTTCCATGTTGGATTCCTTGAAACCCCCAGGATTTGGTGGGGGAGTCCTTGAGCACTCCACTTCTGCTTCCAACAAAGTTATCTTTTTTTTTTTGTATGTGTGTGGCAGTACTGGGGGTTGAAGCCAGGGCCTCATGCAGGAAAGGCAAGTGCACTACCACAGAGCTATATTCCCAACCCTCCAACAGAGTTTTCTTATATACTGAAATTTCTCCTGATAAGCTGAACAAGAATTAATGTGCTTGGAAAAAGTATATGGACCACTGAACTACTCATTACCAAAGTACATCTTCAACCCTACAAAGCAGGCACTGTGTACCCCATTTGTACACGGGAAAACAAACTCAGAATAGCTGAGTAGCTAAGTACCTCATTAAGGTCCATGGCTGGAAGGGAGAGGGAGAAGGATCCTGACATGGCAAAACAGTTTCCAGGCTGTCCTTTTTCCCACTGTCACTGCCCATTGAGGGTCCAAACTGCAGAGACAGATGAGAAGAGCTCTGTACTCTCTTTTAGGTGGTCTGCATCCTGGGGATGGCAAGGGCAGAGATTGTTGAGTGGGAAAAGTTCTCCTACCTTGTTGGTAGTTCACTCTAGACAGAGAAAACAGTTCAAGGTGAGGTGATGGGGTTGAGGAGACAGCTGGGGAGGCTGGGGATTCTGCCTTATCCTGCAAAACAAGTTACACCCCAGTCCCCATGCCTGTCTTACTCTGCATCCACAACAAATCAAAGAGCATTATCCTTTTTAAAAATTTTATTTCAAAGAAAATAAAATCTAACAAAATAAAACAGAATAAAGCCAATCAAAATAAAACAATGAAAATGATACAGGACTTCAAAACAAGAAATAGGAAATCAACAATGGCTAAGCATTAACTCTTACACCTGATGGATTCTGTGTGCAACAGTGTGTCAGGTCTCTCATTCACTCCAGTGCAGAGGTCTACCTCAGCATCAGCCTCCCTTTCAGGTGACAGGACTTTGACTCAGGGGCCGCATCTCCCCAGCTTAGCTGTTAGAATCAGATGGAGGTCTCAGGAGCCACTGAGAAAGGTCAGACAAGTGAGAGATGGGGCTGCTCAGGCCTGGGCCTAGTTGCCTGAAGTTGATACCTCGCAGCTCAGGTTTTGGGCACCTGAAGAGTGCCTTGCCACGTACCAGGTATCTCACACACAGCCTTTACATTTCTGCTCTCCCAGTATCTCTCCTGAGCATAGGTTATGCCCATCTTGCAGACAAAGTCACTAAAGTTTTAATAATACCAGAAGAAAGTGCCCATGTTCCTGAGCGGTACGTGGTAGGACAAGGGTTTGAATCTAGAACCATGGGCTCCACAATCCTCTCCCTGTGAGGAAGACTATCACTACCAGGATCCTCAATGTTACTGAGTCCTTCTCTGATGTAGTCTAATTGGAAATGTCATAAACATGCCTTTCCCCATCCCTGATCCTCTGTGTCTCTGACTGTCAGAAAAAGGACACTTGGAGTAATCTTCCTTGGCCTCTGGCCTCTCACCCTGGGTAGGGAGTGTTCAGCATCTCTCAAGAAGGTTTAAAGTCAGGGGGGTTACTTTTCAAAATAAAATGGATGTTGTGCCTTATTAGCACATCTTGTTGCCCCTTCTGACTGTTTTGAAACATCAGAGAACCTCCTTAATCACTCTTATTTCCTCATTAGAACGTGCAGACCACAAATGTCTGCCTCCAGACTGTAAGACTGTGAAAGGTAAGGTATGACATTCCACACAGCTCCTAGCCTGTCACAAACTCTAAAAAAGAAAATTCACCTCACACAAGGCTATGTGGACATGATGGTACTCAGGGAAGCGTTGAATCGCAGGTTAAAGCCTGGTAGGGAGGCTGTCTGCCTGACAGAAATGGCAGTCAGTGCTGGTGTCTGAAAGAACTGCACAGCTACAGGTGAGGTCTTTCTGTGAAGTCTCCTCTTAGGCTGGGGCCTAGCAGACTGTGCAATAGGGCTGCCAGAGCTGGTGGGGTGACATGTGAGACAGGAGGGTCTCTGACCAATGACAGGTAGGCAGGTTCAGAAAGCCTCTTCTCACATGGTCATGGTGGGTGTCAGAGACTGTGGGGGCACAGGTGCAGGCACTGCACCACTGGATGAGGGGATGGATTGGCCTGGTATGCTGACTGTGGCCCTCTTGTGCTATTGACTAGGACAATCTAAGCAAATGAACCTCCTTCTCTAATGACAGCCTGCAGGCAAAGACAGGGGCAAAAGAGTCAGGGAAGCCTCTGAATAGGGGACACTCAAATAGGATGAATGACAAGAAATTGGCTATCAGAAGAGAAGAAGGGCATCCTGTGTAGAAAAATTAGCAAGCGTAAAGGCCCAGAAGCTCATAAGATCTTTGAGTATCTGAGAACAGTGAGCCACATTGTACTTGGAGAATGCAATTCTCTATCAGGAGGAAGGGAGCATTCAGGCAACTTTCTGGGCACCAGGTAATAAAAAAACTTTTTAGAAGTGCCTTTTTCTAGACTCTGCCACTGACCACCTTGTATAGGGTCTCATGGGGCTCATGAGCCCTCGTACATGGGGCTCATGATAGCTTCACCAGAGGTAAACTCACCCCTTGACTCTACAGAGACAGTATTAGCTCCTGGAATGACTTTACTGTCTGTCTTATTGTTAGCAATACAATGAGTCTACTAAACCACGGCTACAAACTTCGCTATGGCTATTAATATTGGCAGAGCCAACAACTGTGTCTGTTTCCACAAGAAGCAATAAGGTATAAACTTACCTCTGAAGACTCTGTAGAGATAAGGCCTGCCCTCTGGCCTTTAGAAGAAGGGGTCAGTTTCTTTTAATGAGCTTCTGTAATTGGAGTTTGATCTCACTGGAGTTATGCGGATGCTTGTGTGAAGATCCTGGGTGGCAGGGGTGGGGTGAGTGGGTGAGGGTAGGGGATGAGCAGAAATTCTCAGGAATGGTGCTGCATAGTATTCTTAGCCAGCAACATGCTTCTCCTCTGACCAGTATATGAATCAATGCAGGTCAGGAGTTGACCTAGGCTGGATGTACTGCTAAGAGAAGTACCCTAAAGTATTCCTCCTGGGACAGCCAACCCTTTTCCACATCTACCTGTCAGGGACCAATTCTGGAGGATTTTCTTCCTTCTGATGCTCTGGATGTCAGATGGGTTTCCTCAGAATCTTAGGTGAATCCTTCATGACTGGAGGTGCCTGAAGAATGAGGTGGATATAGAAAGGATTTAGTCAGGGAGAAGATGGCTAGTTTCTGCCTTCTGAAAGGAAGGTAGTCTGAAGGTCATATAGAAGGTTAGTAGGTGAAACCATGAACAAAATAAACCTCCCTGAAGACAATCACAATTTTGAGGGTAGGACATCAGGCTGGCGGGACCTAGAAGGACTTGTGGATTCCAATTTCAAGATTCCTAGGCTGGAGTTATAGCTCAGTGGCACAGTGCCTCCCTGGTAGGCACAAGGTCCTAAATTCAATTTCTGCTACAACAAACAAAAAAGCTAATGTTTTCTCCTCAGAGTCCAGTTATCTGGAAGGAGAAATTATACCCATTGGGCCTTTGTACTTTCTTGCCCCCATGCTGATCCTTCTGGATTGGCCATGCTCAGATCTCCAAGGACAGGAAGAGTCCAGGAGTAGTGAAAGCCAATCAAGTACGATTCAGAAATGGCTGGAATGAATGGATGGTTCTGAATAGCATCTAAGAAGATCAGAATATGTTCTACATCTAAATCGTAACACAAAAGTGTGGTCTGCAATAGCTTCACTTAGGGTTAGCATTGAGGAAGCAGGAGTGGGGGATCTCACCTAACAGTCTTTCTTGGCCCTCTCCAAGGTGACTGAGGCTGTAGCTGAATGCTCAGGAGCAACATCCCATGCTGGCCAATTCCCATGCAAGTCACAATTTGCCCCTGGATCGTGCTCACCCTTGGTTGGAGTCTTCCTCAACAAGCATTCCATGGGCCTCCTTAAACTTTCCTTAGATGCTTTCCAGCCCAACCCAGCCTTTCTTATGTTGCCAGTCCTGTAGTTGTTTCTGACGTGGGACTTCTGGTCTGGTGGAAGGAGGGAGGAAAACTCCCATTATTGACAGGTAGATGTTGAAACCCTTAGCTTTCCCCTTCCCCACCCTATGGAACTGGTGCAGGTCATCCCACTCCTTGCATCCTAGGCTAGGCAGCAGTCCTAAGAGGCAAGCGCTTGTTTTCTCAAACATTCCACACCTAATATCCCTAGATGAACCAAGTCTGCTCAGACTTCATGGTCCTGATGGTCCCTTGACTCCAGGGTAGCCCTGAGCCGTGTCAGAACTTCCCTGGAGCCTCCTCCTTTAGAACGTGGCTTAGGCTGGAAGCAGCCTGCATTTACTACAGGCTCTGTGAGTAATGCTTTTCCTCTGGTGTGTTAGGAACCTTGGGCCTTGGTGCTACTCATAGTGGTCTGTCTCTGGTCAGTGGTTGTCACTTCCAAGAGCCAGTGAAGAAGAGAGAGCCTTTTGTACTTCATTCTCCCTCAGAGAATCTCCCACAGCTTTCAGTCTTATCCACGAGCAGTGACACCTCCTTGGTCTGGCTCTGCCCACTTCAGGTTCTTCAGAACTGCGAAGTTCAGCAACTTGAAGACTGTGGCCCCTGCTCTCTGCTAGTATAGAGAAGGAAGGCTGGAGTATGGTGGTATAGGTCTAAAATCCCAGCATTCTGGGAGACTGAGATGGAAGTTTGAGCCCAGCTGGGTAAAGTAATGGCTTAGCAAGACACTGTCTCAAAATTAAAAAAAAAAAAAAAAGCTTGGAATGTAGCTCAGGGCAAAGGCAAAGAAATACCTGAAGCTCTGGGACTGTCTGTTGTATATATGATCTTGGATAGGCTTTTTCCCCCCTCTGGAATTAGTTTCCTTGCTGGTGAAAAGGTGGCAATGAAGCTCATAGGGTTATTTGGAGGATACAGTGTGATAATATGTGGGTACAGAGCTGAACTGAAAAAAATCTAAGAGGTGAATTACTATAAGATAGGGAGAATAGGATGAGCTGGAAAAAATTTATTGTGTAGGGAGGGGAAAGGAGATAGTAGGGAAATAGCATCTGATATGACAGGAAGGCCTGGAATATTAGGAGTCCAGAGGCTCCTGTGCCATGGCGAGGTCTCTGTTGACCAAATACTGAGGGTAGTCTTCTGTTTACCTAGAAGAGGTTATAATAATCAAAAGCCTGGAGTCTGTGGAGCCATAGAAAATACTATCTGGCCAGCCTAGAAGAATGAGAAAATAAGTGGAGTGTTGTACTCACGGTTTACAAGGGAATAGATTTAATACAGGACACATAATTCATAGGATTATTTTATAATATTTCCCCAAAGAGTCAAATGCAGAAGAATGCAATAGATCTGTCCATGTACTAGAGACCCAAAGAATCCACCTGAGGGCTTAAATTCCACAGCAATGTCCTGCACAAGTCAGCTGAAGACCTAAAGCCCATGGCAATGTCCTCCACAAGTACAGCTGGAGGCCTAGAGCCCAATAGTATTTCTTGCAAGTCTGTATTAAGGATCTGCACTGGAAAGGCTCAAAAGCCAGTGGTAGAAGCTAGAGTCTGCTCCATCAGGGTGAAGGATCTGTTCCAGAAGACAGGGATCTACACTAGAGCCAGGAAGTGATGCTCAAGGTAAGGACCAGAGCTCCTCTAAAGAGAACTGTAACCATTTTCAGAGATAGCAAGTACCCAAGCTCCAGACAATGGGAAGAGCTGAGTTTATATCAGGGAAATCAATGTGACAATCTTCTCCAGGAGAATCAACAGCACACTCTCTTCCCCTCCAGTTCTCTTTTTATGCTGTTGTCAACAATCATCAAATGGGTCTTCTATGCCCAGAAACACACTGATTTAGTTCAGTTGGATATTACAAGATGCCCGTTAGTTAATCCACCACATGGAGATGGAGTCATCTTCTCTGAAGACTACTCTTGAATTTGAATCATCCTCTATCCCTTAGGTGTTGGGTAAGGGGTGGTCAGTCCCATATTCCTTTCCCCCAGGACTTGTTGACTAAGGGAGAAAGCTCCCTAAGGAAAAGATGCACTGGGAGTGCATCACCCAGTTCCAGGCCTTAAGGCCCTCAGCCTTCTGTTCTAGCCTTGTGCCATGCACTCCTGTCCCATCTCGTCCAGAACAGGTCCATATTCCTCCTGTTCCCCAGGGATAGGTTTCTGAGCACAGAAGTCAAAGCCTGTATTAAACCTGATGGATGAATAGGATCAAATACATCCTATATATCCCCAAACTGAATTTCTCCAATCCCTGCAGATCATGTTCAAGAGAAAGTTATAAAAATGTCCATGCCTTGGCCCCCATGAGGGATAGAATTCAGCTACTTGGGTCTGTGATAGGCTCATAAAATCGTGTGTTATGATTCAAAAGTTTGTTTTTGAGGTGCTTAGACCAGAAGAGCATCTCAGACTTAGCTGATATGGGTATGCATGGGAAGAAGGGGTTACTGTTCAAAAAAGCTGTAGAGGCAAAAATGAAGGGAGACCAACAAGGAGGCTGGAGGATTCCAAATGAGAGGGAAGTGATTTGGCATGAGAGATCTGGGATCGACTTGGAGTTAAAGCCACAGAACTCACTGTGGACCAGATATGAGAGAAAGAGAAAGTACTAAGGATGACTGGCAGTGTTAAGCTTGAGCTGCTAAGGACATGGAGGTCGCTTTTTCCCCCCCAAGATCCTGTAAGGCACAAAGGTATGAGGAAGGTAGCTGGATTGATGGAGGTTGAGCCATAGCTTTGAGAGACATTATAATTTAGTTGGGGTCCATGGTCACAAGATCAGATGACAGAGGAAAGAATGGGAAGTGAGATGAAAAGTTGTCTTAGTCCTGGGGCAGAGGGTTAGGGAGATATGAAATTATCAGAAGAGTACAATGAGAGGGATAACCAGGCAGGTAGAAAGTTAAGTGTATGCACAGTAGATTGACTCCAGGACACCCTGTGAATGCCAAAATCTGTGGACACTCCAGTATCTTACACAATGTGGCTTAGTATTTGCATATAACCTATGCACATTCTCCTGTATACTTTAAATCATCTCTAAATCACTTTAAATACTTAATACAATATAACCACTGTGCTGGTAGTTGTACTGCATTGTTTAGGGGATGATATAAGAAAAGTTTTTCTGTGTTCAGTATAGATATGATGTTTAAAAATATTTTCACCAGGAATTTAGCTCAGTGGCATAAGTGCCTGCCTGGAAAAAAATGTATATGCATATTTTTTCAATTCACAAGAATTGGTTGAATCCACTGATTTGGAAACCACAGATACAGAGAGCTGACTGTATAGTTTATTATAAGCTTTTAAAAACAAGTGTTCTAAGAAAGGAATTGTCACTGTTTGGATACTGCTGAGCAGAAAAAGTAGGACAAGGATAGAGAAACAATCATTAGATCTGCCATCGCAGACATCCTTGATAGCATTAATGTAGGCATTTCCATGGAGCAATAGGGCTGGAAATTCAAATGGGCAAAATAGAAGCTATCAGCAGGAAGGTAGAGGCAAGGAGCCCAGCGCCAGGGGATGGAAGCCTTTTTTCCAAGCATTGTGTGAGAGGTGCTGAGTGACTTTGGGCTCTGCTTAATTACCAAAGCCTTCAGTGGCAACATGAAGAAAAATGGCCCTGTGTCTTGGAAGTCAAGGCCTGGGCCTTCCAGCATAGATTAGTAGATGATGCTTAATGCTGTCTCAGAATAATCTGGTTTCGAGACATCCTCATTTCTAGGAGGGCAGAAAGGCTTCAGTGCTGTGTATTATCCTTCTGAGGAAGCTGTACTGTTTTGTATAATTATGTTCCAGATAGAAGCAACACAACCTCATTGGAAAACTACAGAAAGAAAGAAGGTTTATGTCCCTCTGATTTGTATCTAATTATGTTTATTCTTGCATAATCACAATCACATTGTGAGCAGTTTTGGGCATGATTTTTTTCCGGAGGGTTACATAATAGATACTCTGTATGTCAGTATATGGCTTCCATGGTTATTAATGATTACCTAAAATTACATGGAGCAATGCCGCATGTTCAATCAGTTTGTCCTCTTTTGGTGGTCATTTGAGATATTTTCAGTATTTATAGACAACATTGCATTGACTAGCTATGTAAATGGGACTTACCCTGATATATTCTCAAAGAGCTAATGGATTTAGATTTCTTGATATCCAGTTGCTAGCTGTTGGTGGAAGAGCTGACTGAACCCACTCACTTGGAGTAGAGCCTTTACTTTCATACAACTGTCTGCACAGAATTGTTTAAATGTTTTTTACTTTGACTGGCCAAAGAAAGGTCTCATTGTAGCTTCAATTTGTCTTTCTTTGGTGGTTAAATAAGTGCTAATTTTCCCAACTGTTAATTTACTGATTCTATCTCTCCCCTCTGGAAGAAACAGTTCCCATCAAGCAATTCACATTTGTACTTTTCCCAGCAAGTTTTCTGAATTGTTAACAGGGCCCTTCCAGGCTGTCCTTACCTGGTGGAGTGTACAACGTCATATTTGTGTTTGCCCACATTTTCTCACACCTCTAGGTAGACTTCACAGTCATATTATTCCACTTGGAGTCTTCACAGTAGTTTTTGTGTAGACATTCCTCTTAGTCTTCATTGACTCTGCTTGCAGTCACTTCTCCTGAATTTAGAAGAGCCTTTGGGAATACATCTTAACCAACAGATTAGTAAATACGGACTGCTCACAGTTCTCCATACTCTGCCTCTATCCATTTGGGCTCTGGTTACTTTGTCATTGCTTTACATGTAGTTATGCTTCTCCTTCCCTCTGTGCATTGGTTTATAAGATCTCCTCCAAGAGTGCATCCATTTACTTTTAGGCCATATCCAATGAAATTAAACTAATCCTCAGAGACCTTGCCTCTTGACCAAGCTTTCTTGGATTTTTTAAAAAGTCACTCAGCCTTCTGTGCCTTTGACCATCTGAAGCATTTATAGTCTACAGGGACTCTTTGAAAGGGTCCCAATACTCCAACAAATAGTTCTTTTTTCCTTATTCAACTTCTGAACAAATGGAGAAAGAAAAACTCAAATGAAACTTAAGTCATCACCTTCTTCAGTGATGGAGGCTTAGTGAAGGAAGTATTTTGGAGTTAGATTAAATGAGGATGCAAATTGACATGAGAATTACTCCTTTTCCACTTCCCTCTAGTCTCACACAATCTGGGTGAGATAGGCTCCCCATGTTACAGTTACTGGAGACTACACATGGACAGAAACATGAAGAGTGAGAAATCTGCTGCCCTCCTCACAGACAATACCTAAGGGGAAAATGTTAAATTTTGCCTTGAATTATAGCTTAGTCATTCTGTATGTTTTGCACTCTGGCTACCTTTGAGTTCCTTCAAGCCCAGGAAATGTACAGCTTATTATCTTCTTAGTGCCTTCTAGTAGGTAAAGAAGACTCACTGTTAGCTCCTGCTTCCCATGCCTATCCACCCCAGATAAATACAGAATTCTGTTCTGTTTTGAGGGCTTCATTTCTCTATTGAGGCTGGCCTGAGTATGTAGGCAGAACCTATAGGAACAAGTTGGGATATAATCACTGACACTGGCTCAGGCCTCATTCAGGAGGGGTGATAGGCCCTTTTTGAAAGCAGGCTTCTTTCCATGAGGGTATAGTTTTGGAATGATGACACTAGCATCCTGGGTGTCCTTGCACTAGGACGGAAGAGATAGGCGAACAAGAGATTGAGATAGCACAGGCATGCTTTGTTCAACTCACAAGAGTGCAAAGAATCTCTTTTTGTCTTTTATTGGGCTGCTTAACGAAGGCAGAGAGGACTAAATATTTTGGGCTGGATGTAGAAGCCCATGGACAGAGCCAGGTTACAAACTCCACTGCTCTGCTAGCTGCTGCTTTCTAGAGGCATTTGAGCCCTCATACATTTTGAAGCCCACCTGGTAATGCCTGGGTTCCTGTGGGTGCACACAAATCATTGTACCACATAGAGTTAGAAAAAGACTCTCTAAAAATAACCACCGAGGAATATTTAATTTGATAGCGAGGCTGTGACTAATCCATGGAACAGAGTCTATGTGACAAGATGCAGTACAATAGTGGGGAGAAATTTGTGTCTGACCTTTAAGCAAGTGCAAAATGAAACAGATCTATACCTCAGCAGCTGAGGACACCGTGGTTTTAGGGAGCATGTCTATGAACAGGGGATTTGATGATCATGGAGGAAAACTGATGGAATGTGTAGTTTTTGAGGGTACTGCATTATGGAAATAGCTTGGGAAAGTCAATACCTTCTGGTGTTAAATAGAGAGAAAAGCTAGTGCTTGGCTGGTAAGAGGAGGATGCTGCTAGCCTAGCTGAGCAAAGGAAACCAAACTGGCCCTATTAGGTTGGCTTGGAGGAAAAGCAAGTCCCACAAACACAATGAGAACCAGGCATTCTGGCAAACAATCAGAGTGAGGAAAGGGAAGCCAGGTTTCAAATGTTTAATTTGAACATTTATCCTGTGCCAGGCTCGGTATTGAGAGTTTTGCACGTATTGTCCTCATACATGTCCTTGTTAAAGAAGCTATTATGATTTTCACTTGACAGAGGAGGAAATTGGGTTTAGAAGGGTTAAACTACTGGCTTGGAGTCATCCAGCTTCAAAATATCTAGGGCTGGACATGAGTCTGCTCCTGACTCCAAAACCCTCAAGCTCTGTTCCTCATTGTTGGATCACTCTGAACTTGAAAATCCCTAAGACTGCACATCAAAAATGAACCTACTGAGAAAAGAATTAGGAAAACAATCCCATTCATTGTAGCTTCAAAAAATTTAAATACTTAGGTATTAATATACTCAAGGAAATGAAAGCTCTCTATAAGGAAAACTATAGCACTCTGAAGGAAGATTGAAAATAGCTGGGCACGGTGGCACTTGCCTCTCATCCCAGCACTCAGGAGGCTGAAGCAGAAGGATTGTTGTGAGTTCAAGACTAGCCTGGGCTATCAAGTGAGCTCAAGGCCAGCCAGAACTGCATAGCAAGACTCTGTCTCTAAAAAATAAAAGAAAAAGAAAGAAAGAAAGAAAGATTGAAGAGGATATTAGAAAGTGGGCAGATACTTCATGTTCTTGGATAGAATCAATATTGTGAAAAATTACCAAATATTACACTTAAATTTTATGCAACTCTGATCAAAACATTAGTAACATTCCTCATAGAATTAGGAAAAAATAATTCTAAAATTTATAAGGAATCAGAAGACACCCAGAATAACCACTGCAATCCTGAGCAACAAAAGCAAACCAAAAGGCATTATGATCCCAGACTTCAAGTTATACTACAAAGCTATGATCATAAAAAGAGCATGATACTGGCACAAAAATAGACATGCAGACCACTGGAATAGAATAGAAGATACAGAATTAGCCCTTTACACTTTTAGCCTGATCTTTGACAAAGATATGAAAAATAAATGCTGGAGAAAAGACATCCTCTTTAACACATGATGCTGGGAAAATTGTTTATTCATGTGCTGAAGAATGAATCTAGACCCATATGTCTTATCCTAAGCTAATTTCAAATAAAAATGGGTCAAAGACCAGCTACAAACAGAAATGCTGAATATGGTAGAAGATAAAATATGTAATTCTTGAAGAAAAAGGCATAGGCAAGAAGTTTCTGAACAGAATTCTAGCTACACAAAAAATAATACAAAAATGGAATTATCGCAAATTAAAAAAATAAAACCCAAAACTTCTGAATATCAAAGAAAACAGAATGAAGAGACAACTTATTGAATGGGAAAAAACATTGCCAGACGTTCCTCAAAATGAGAACTAATATCTAGAATTTATAAAGACCTCAAAAAAATTAGACCTCAAAAAATAAAAGATCCAGTCAAAGATGGGCAATTGAAATGAATAGACACTTTTCAAAAGAAGTACAAATGGCCAATAAATAACATAAAATATATTCAGCATCTTTGGTCATTAAAAAATGAAAATCACAATACTGAGATTCCATCTTACTCAAAAATATCACCAAAGACTCAAAAATCAAAAAAATTTGGCATTGTTATGGGATAAAAGGAACACTTCTACATTGTTAGTAGCAATGTAAGCTAGTAGAACATTATGCAGATGATTACAGAGATTTCTCAGAAAACTAAAACTAAAAATTCCATTTGACTTACTTATATCCTTCCTGGGTATCTTTCCAAAAGAGTTAAAGTTATCATACTAGAGTAATTTATGAATATTCATGTTTATAGAAGCACAATTCACAATAGTCAAATTATGGTAGTTACAAATCCACAGATGAGTGGATAAGAAAAGTGGAATGCGTACACAATAGAGTAATACCTGGTCATAAAGAAGGATAAATTTGAGTCTTTTGTAGGAAAATTGATGGATCTTGAGGTCATAATGCTAAGTGAAACAAATCAGACACAGACATTAAATAGCATATGGTTTTTCATGTGAGAAAGCCAAAATATAAATAAGGAGCAGAATAAAAGAAAGATAGTAGGAAATAGAAAGACTTCTAAGATGGGAAGATCTGGGGAGAAGGAAAGAGAGGGGAGGAGAAAGGTGAGTAAAATGACCAAGATGCAATCCGTATATGTTCTGACTTCCAACAATGAATGTAATCATTATATATCACAAACATATACTAATGAATTTTTAAAAAGGAAAAGAAAAAACCCAAACCTGCACTAATAGCCTAGAGTCATGACTGGGAGACCAAGGGTGAGGTCTCAGTAGGGCCATTCAGGGATAAGTTCTCTTAAAAAATTGCTGAGACTCCTGGCACAGCAGATTTCCAGATTGGAATCACTTCTCTGATTGTTCTATATTACAACTGCATATTATCAGTTCTGATTCATTGTTCTGGGTGCTAATGGGAGAAGTTTCCATTTCACAGAATTGCTTCCTATAGTGGTAACAGGTTGAGTACTGTTCCTGCCACCCTGGGAGGCGATCCTATGTATCCTGAGTACCTCCACATATGCTCTTATAAGAGAGTTCTTTAAAGATTTCTTTTTCATTCTCTAATAAATAACATTAAGAAAGAGATTAGCAATGGTCTTTGATCAGATTCAGTGCGTTGGCATGCTTTTTGGCATGTTCGGCATTATTCTTTCTCTGGCCCCTTCGCATGTGCCAGGTTGTAGGTGGTTATCAAGGAATTAAGGCTGTGACTGAAACAGTGTTCCAGAAACCCTCTGAGACACTGGAAAGCAGGCTGGGCAGGGAAATAAGCTGGTATTCCTTCCTGAGCCTGAGAGATGAGGCCTGGAGTTTGGGTACAGTCGTGCCATTTTGAAAATAAAAGAGGGATTGTCTCTAGGAGGGAAGAAGCTTGGAGCGGTTCTGGGTTAGGCAGGGTCCTGGAAGCATCTGCACAGCCTTTCTTGGGTACTTAGAAAATTGGGGAATATCCAGTGTTGCCTCTGAGCCCAGCAAGCAAGGAGATGTGCCTTTTTCTAGGCTGTTTCCTTGACAAGCCCAGAATCTCTTTGAAGGTGCCTGGTCTCTATCTTTGTTTCTGACCCAAGGCTGGCAATGATTGTTGCCTTATTGTGATCAAGCAAGGCTCTAAGACCTGACCCAGCCTCCAGTTCTAGCCACACTTCCACTGTCCAGTTAGTTGTAACTCACACATATGCCTTGTTTTCTACTCCTTGGATACACAAATTCTTCCCACAGTTTCTACCTCCCTAAAGGCTGTTCCCTTTGTCCAGAACACTTTATCTTCTTTTTTAGCTGAATGACTCACCTGCATCATCAGGTTCTAGTTTAACTATTATTTCCTCCAGGAAGTCTTCCCTGACTTGCAAACTAGGTCAGGCTTCCTGACTGATGCTCCCTTTGTTCTTATGTCTACAACTAGAGGTTCTCTTGTATAATAATAGGTTCTATGTCTTTCTCAATTGAACTAGATGGTAAATTCTGTGATGGGAAAGACCCTGGACACTTTCACCCTGAACCTTGCCTAATAGATGGGCAAAAACTTTTGGTGAATAAAGATTCAAATTTCTTACATTTGAAATTGAGATGTATAAATAGCTGGTGGGAACAAAGTCCCAGTTCTCTTTCTAGCCTCAGTTCCATAACAATTCAAATATGGGGTAGCTAATGCTGCACCAAATAAACAGGCTTTGTTTTGCAGTTAATGAATTGGTGAAGGCGTAGTAATTGGTTGCTTTTTATGTGTAGAGAAATTACCTCTGTCCTGATTTGCAATATTTGGGCTATTTTGGGCTGCTTTTGTCTTTTGGGCCTCTTTGTATTGGTGCAATAATTTCACCATTTGGCTACACAGAGGCCCAATTAAGATTACAAATATGGTCCCATAAAATTTACTTCTTGACATTAGAATGTTTTGTTGCTAATTACTCTCTGAGGTTTTTAATTTCAATCCCTCCTTGGTGACTTAGTGCAGAAATTCAAGGGCACAGTTATTTTTCCCAAAGGGAAAGGAGAACTCAGTAATGCCAAGTTTCTATTTGTCCTACCTTCTGGTAGGGCCATCTAATTTTTGATTCTCTCTGCTATACTTTCTTTACCTTGGCCAGAAAAAAATAATTGAACAAAAATCTTATTGGGAAAAAGATATAAATTTTAGGGGAAAAAATAAAAGCACTGTTTCCAGTCATTTAAACAATATTTTACTAAGTACTTGTGAGGTATGATAAAAAATATGATGAATGTTCAAATTTTAAAAAAATTAAATAAAAGGCATTGTCATTAATATTCCCCTCAAAATACTTTCCCTTGCTTTGAACACGCTTATTCTTTCGTTCTGTGAAGCAGTTCTGGAAGTTTTCTATTATGACTTTAATTGTGCTATTGTAGCTGCCTCAATATTATGAATCAGTTCAAAATATTTATCTCTTATGTTCATTTTGACTTTTGGAAAGAGCTAAAGGTTGCATGGTGTCTGATCTGGGGAATAAAGTAGAGGAAGACATACTATAATGTTTTTACA